ATTTTCACTTTAGATATTTTCTAATACCTAACATTTTTTTTAACAGTATATTCTTTTGCTTTCTGGATTTGCACCCTGGTATTTTCTTTCTTTTTTTTAACTTTAACATTCATACCATTATTGTCAGAGAAGATTGTGTGATTTCCATGGCTTTAAATTGTTGTACTGTCTTACGTTTTATTGTATGGTGTTGTGTGAGAAATGATCCATGTGTCCTAGAGAGAAATGTGTATTTTTGTGGGACTGTGTGGAGTTTCCTATAAATGTTGGTTATGTCCAACATTTGGCTATGTTTATGTTTAACTTCTTGATATCATAAGTCAACTTGTTTTTAGATATTCTGTCTACTACAAAGCCAGTGTACGGAAATACCCTATTATTGTGGTGTTGTCTGTTTCTGCTTTCATATTACTCAGTGTTTGTTTCATGTGTTTGGGGATATTGCTGTTATGGGTGAGTGAGTGTGTGTGTGTGTGTGTGTGAAATTGTCATGTCTTTTAGTAAGATTCCTACTTTATTATTATGCAATTCATTTTTGTTCATATCTTTTCATTTAAAACTTATTTCATCTAATACCAGTATAGTCAGCTTGGTTTCTGTTTGCTTGTTTGCTAATTGCATGCAGTGTATTTCTCATTCTTTTATTTTTAGTCTGTTTGTGTCTTATATCTAAAATATGTTTCCAGTGAGCAGCAAATGATAGATTATATATTTTATATGATTTAAGTTGACCTCTTTGTGTGTTTTGTCTTGTTTTGTTTTTGTTTTTTAAGGGGCATTAAGCCATATTTACATTTAATGTTATCCTGAGAATCAATTTTCTACCTCATTCATTTGGCATTTTTCGGTACCTTTGTACTGGGCTGGTTTTTCGTAATGGCTATTTGGGCTTTCTTCCTTCTTGTTTACTGGATGCCTTTTTTAATGATTTCTTAGTGGTCACCAAACACATTATATTGTATAAATAATAATTGCAACAATGTCTAACATATAAACAGTGTCAATATGCAACCTTCACATAATACGTCTATTTCTAATATGATTATCCCCCCCTTCATTGCTGTTGTTGTTTCACCATTAACGTCATTTTTTTTAAAGAAAGACAGAAAGATCCCGCCAAACCAAAAACCCTCACTGCTGTCAAGGTAATCCAACTCAGAGCTTCCTTATATAGTGTCTGAGGCTGTAAGTTTTTAAGAGAGAGGCTGTTGTGTTTGAACTCCTGGCTTTGTGGTCATCAGTCCCATGTTTAACTGACGGTGCAACCATATGAACCTACACTAGATCCATGTACTTTGTACTGATTTTTAAAATGTTGATGCTGTATTGCTTCTGAGTGTTTGAGAGTGTCCATTTTTCCTTTATCTCAAACTTTACAGGGTAACAATTATTGTTTGGAAATTGATAAATATAAGCAACAGCATAAAAACTGACCGATAAATATTATTGACATAAAGATGTCTTGTGGCTGTTTTTGAAAAGCTCTTTTATGATATACTTTTTTGTGATTTTAAAGTGGCCCTTTTGTTAATTTTTAATATTTTACATTATATGTATATTTTAAATTCATATGTCTGATTAGTTAGCTGAAATGAGAACAATTGGCAGTGCCAATTTAATATAGCCTAAATTCATTCACTTGTAACACTTACCATTAATATATGCACTGTTTAAAGTTTTCTGTACTGATCTATAGAAACTTTCACCTGAGTGAAATGGATATGAGTCTTTGAGGGGAAAAGAAGAAAAAAAAATCGTGTTAGCGTTCCAGCCACAGTCATGAATGTAACACCATAATTATTCAGAACTCGCCTGCAGGTGATAGCCCTCATTGTCTGCTGACATGTCCACTGGGGCTAGTAGGTGATCCCACTCCTTGTCTGCTTACATGATCTACTGGGGCTAATCAGCATTCTGTACCACTAGCCTCTCTCTTGGGTTTAGGAAGCTTATTTTTATACTTAATTTGAAATGAATGTCCTTATTTGCTTCCTGATCATTTCCTGCTACAGATATCAGAAGAGGAGCTATCCGAGTGAAGCTTTGATTATTCATTTTTGAGTGTTCTTAATTGAGACGAAATGAAGTTTGTTAATCTTTTGACATAATCTTCATTCTCTCTCTTTGTGTGCACATTTAAAAGAAAACTTTTACTTGATATTTTAGGAAATTAATACTGAAAATAACAGAAGAAAAAAATTGAGATGTGGTAAAGTTTACAGCTCATCTAAGAATTAATGTAATTTAAGTTACATTCAGATGACCAACAACTGTACCACTCAGTATATGTAAGTCATAAATTTCATAGCATCTGCTAGAGCTCATTGTTAAGCATTGTCATACAAGAGTCTAAAGAATGAAAAAAGATGTATCCTCATTCAATTACTGTATATGGTTACTATATAATCCTTCTTCAACACATTTCTTCCTGAGTTTATTACTTATATTCCAAAGGTTCTTAATGTTTTGACTCATAGCAATCCTATAGGGAAGAGTAGAGATCCTCCTTAGGGTTTCTGATGCTGTAAATTTTCTCCAGATGAGAGAGTCTCATTTCTCTCTCTGATGGAGTTGAACTGCTCACCATGCAGTTAGCAACCCAACACATAGTCCACTATGCCATGAAGGCTCTGTGAAAAATATTGAAACATTTTATTGTAATGTTTATGAATGCAGGTATTTAATAGTGATTTGCTGAGGTATTGACTTTCTTCTCTTGACCTTTCTTTTCCTATCATAGACTATGAGATTGAGAATAAACAGCTTAGAAATATTGCATTTATTTCACAGAGGTAATCAGCTCAATGACACAATTATCTGTTACTGAATCTGTGAGTTAGCAGATTTCATACACAACTGCTAACAGCAGGGGAGAAAATGAGACTTTCTCCTCCCGTGAAGAGTTAGTCTTGGAAATCCCCAGGGCCAGTCCTACCCTGTCCAATAGGGCCGCTGTGAGTGGGAATTGACTTGACAGCTGTAAGCTTGCTGTTTGGGGTTTTGGTTTTGGTTTTAGGAGTTGAATTGGATCAAGCATTTGGTTGCTAACACATGTTCAGTGGTTCAAACCTATGCAGTCAAATATGATGAGGCTAAGTTTATAATTTCAGAAACTCTAATGAACAATTCCATTCTGTCCAAATAAAGTGCCTCTAGGAGATCTGAATTGAGTCAACAGTAGCATCAGTCAGCTTGTTAACCCAGTGGTAAAACTGGCCACTTATTTACCAATTAATCCTACCCTAGAAGCCAAAAGAATCTCAATAAATATATACAGTTTTAGGGATTTTCCCCGTCTTTTAGCCGAAGAGATATTTTTCCATTTTTATTTCTTCTAGTAGCTCATGGAAAAATGAAATAAACAAACAAAATTCACTGCTCCAGCATCATACTGACTCATCTTGACCTTACAGGACAGGTAAAACGATTCCTGTGGGTTTTGAGACTGTATGTCTTTTAGGGAATAGCAAACCTCATCTTTCTTCCCTGGAGCCACGGGTGGTTTTATACTGCTTACCTTGTGGTTCACAGCCAATATGTAACAATTATGCCACCAGGCATCTGAAGAGAACGTGGTAGGGTAGTCAATATTACCAGTGTATATGGCATATAGAAAATGAAAACCAAAACATCTATTAAACATGTATATATAGACTTAAAAACGTTTGTAAATAAATACAATTAGTAGTTTAATTATTTGTTTGGCTAGTACAAAATTTTGCTATAATAAAATTTCATGACAAAAATGGGTAAAAAATGAAATACAAGTTATAAAGTATCTGCTACTAGAGTTCCAGTTTATAGATGCACGGGTTTATTTAAAAAAAAAACTTCTCTGTACTAAATAGATTTCTATGGAAAAGCTCTGCCTGCACTGTAGAAATACTTAAATACCAAATTTTATGTAATGTCACCTACTGAAATCCAAGTCAACTGAAGCAACTGGGTATTTGGGCACAATGTCTCATTTACTTCCATGCATAACTCTCTATTTCAGGAATCACTTTTTTCATTGCCTTCCTGCTCTAGTTTATTCCATAATTCTCATAAGTTGTCATCCAGTTGTTTCAATTTTCACCAAATTCAAATTTATCAACACTCTCAGTCTCAATAGTTGCTTTTAAAATAATAAAGTGCAACACAGTGTCTTCCCTGGCAATCTACTGAACCAGTCTAATGTAAAACAAAGAGGTCAGCTTAGACAGTTACAGCAACTTTGTTTTTAGCTTCAAATGATCATTTTGAAAGATTTTCTTAAAATAAACAAGGCAATCATGAAAAAAAAATTAAGAAAATTTAAAACTGCATTAGGCCAGGAAAGTTGTTCCAAGGATTTTTTTTCCCCACCACAATACAATTGTTCATTCTTTGAAGGTGACAGGGACTTTCCTATGAGATTTTGTTGAGAAGTTTTAACTTACCAACCTTAAAGCCCTGAACTGCCCACAGCTCAAAGAACACTAAAGAGGAGACTGATTCGAGTACCTGAAGGGTGGTTAAAAAATAAAATAAAAAACACCTTCCATTTTGATGTGGTGTAAAACAAAGCTTATAATCATTTGGGAGAGATTACAGATAAGAAAACAAAGCCTTTGGAAGTGTATAGATTAAGATAGAGGGCATGTCAAGAAACAACTTCACATTTTTAAAAATTTTGTTTAATAAAAGTTTCTATGATTTTATAGCAATACTTTTTTATTTACCTCATGTGACATTAAAATGATTCTCTTCATTTTGGGGATGTGAATGACTTACAGGATATAAAATAAACACATTTAGAACCGAAAAAGCTTTATCTATCAAATCATCTTCTTTTTCTATCATAGAGAAAAAGGGCCAAATCACACTTTTTTTCTTTCTTTTTTCTTTTTTTGTTTTTGTACACTTATTGCCTCCCCGTCGGGGAATCGAACCCCGGTCTCCTGCATGACAGGTGGGGATACTCACCACTATACTAACGAGGACAGCCAAATCACACATTTTTTATGACATTTCAACTCATGGAATTTTCTGAAGTGTGGTGGCAGCAGATCCTTACTGGTATGATATTTTTACTATTTTTTCTAGTATCCATTATTGGCAATTTCCTGATAATTTTGCTGTCTACTTTTGACCAACATCTCAATACTCCTATGTACTTCTTTCTCAAGCAATTGTCTCTTTTAGATCTTTGCTATATCTCAGCAACCCTTCCCAATGCCATTATAGACAACTGGACCCACAACAGCACCATTTCTCTCTGGGGATGCATCCTTCAGGTCTTCCTGGTGAGTTTCTTGGCCTGCACTGAGATGGCATTACTCACAGTGATGTCCTATGACCGCTATGTGGCCATTTGCTCCCCTCTGCACTGTGAAGTCATAATGAATAGATGTATGTGTATCAAGATGGCCAGTTATACATGGTTTAGTGGTTGGCTTTCTGGAATTTTGCACACATTACAACCTTCTCTCTGTCCTTCAGGACATCCAATATAGTGCATCAATTCTATTGTGAGATCCCTCAATTACTCCGACTTTCTTGCTCTGACAATTACTTGGCTGAAGTTGGAGCAGTTGCTGGCATTTCTTCATTGAGCTTTGTCTGTTTTGTTTCCATTGCTTTCTCCTACCTTCACATTTTCTCTACTGTGCTGAAGATGCCTTCTTCTGGAAGTCAGTCCAAAGCCTTCTCTACCTGTATTCCTCACCTGCTTGTGGTTACATTTGTTCTCAGTGCTGCAGCAGTGGCCTATTTGAAACCATCTGCAAATGTCCCCACTGTTTCTGACTTGCTGGTTTCTGTATTATATACCATTGTTCCCCCCACTGTGAACCCTATTATTTATAGCTTAAGGAACAAGGACATGAAGTATGCTCTGCAAAAATATTTAAATATAAAATATTTTCGTTCTGTCACTTGCTGAGGTTAAAGCCAATAGAAGCCTATTGAAAGTTTAGACAAAATGTCACTTTAATTCCCATGCATGACTCTCCTGCTTAATGGATCATTTTGTTCACTGCCTTTATGCTCTGGTTTCATCCATAACTCTCTTTGTTTGCTATCCAATAGTTTCGATTTTCACCCAATTCATTTTCTCTACATTTTTTATCCAATTATACATTCTCTTTAAATTGATGTTGTCATAATTTCTTTTCAAATTCATTGAAATAGAAAATAAATATGTTACATTTTCAAATTCAGAAGATTATACAATACCGATCCCATTATTTAGCCAATAAATATCTATTGATGAATTACTATGTACCAGGGATTATTCAAAGTACTTGAGGTATTTCAGTGGGAAGGAGAAAGTAAGGGTACACCTCTGACTTTGGGGAACTACAATGGCAGTAGAGAGACAAGGTATTTAAAAATGTGGGAAAGCGAGTTAAAAGGTTGGAACAATACAATAAAAAATTATATTGATTAGTAATATTTTGCAAGCTCCTTGGATTCTTTTTGCTTTAGCTATTGTAAATAGAAACATATCCTCACAAAAATCATTATGCAGCATCTAAAGAGTTCAAAGTAAACATTTTACTTTCATTTTAAGAATTTTTATTTGATTGTTGTTGGGAGTCTGTCCCTTCTAATTCATTATTTGTATCTTTGTCTATTTGCTTACCACCTTACCGCGGTTTTGATTTTTATTGTTTTCTATTGGGTCTCCCAGCTGTGAAGCACAGGAGGCTGGATGCATACTGAGAGTAAGTGATACAAGGGGTCATAGGGAATACAGGAGGGGTCGTGGATGATGGGGAAGGGAGAGGGATCTCAGGGGTAAATGGTGGAGACAGGGAACCCTCGAATGTATTGTCATTGCGTAATCATCGTGGAGGCGATTTAACCACGGGAGGGGAAATGTGCTAAAAAAATTAACATGGGGCGATTTTACAATTCTCCTTGATATAATTGAATGATTGAACTATTGAGTTATATTATATGTAAATTACTTGCCAAAAACACTGTTGAGAAGAAAAGAAAAAGAAAAGAAGAGTTGCAGTCTGGGCAACTCACAGAGGCCGTTCCCTCCTGTGCTTTGGGGTCTCTATGAGTCTCTATGGGGTCTCTATGACAGTGAGCATGAGCAACCTCCAAAGGACATTCACTGTCAGCAATTTATTGCTGACTCATAGCAACGTCCTGAGACTTTCCGATACAGTATCTTTTTATGGGAGCAGAAAACCCAGTCTTTCTCCCACAGAGCTGCTGGTGGTTTCGAACTGTTGTCCATAGGAATTTCAGCCCAACATGGAACCACGACACAGTTATTGAATTTTCTGTAATAACTATGATACTCTAAATTGTTGGAATTCATTTAAAATACATGGGGAAAATTAATCATCAGATTGCAAATGATGTTAGGCAGGGGAACTCTACACTTAATTGGTTTATTCAATAATTTATGGATCCACTCCTCAGAAGAAAGATCCATCACCCCGCTTCTATAATGGTTACAGCAGTGGTTCTCAATCTTCCTAATGCTGCGACCCTTTAATACAGTTCCTCATGTTGTAGTAACCCCCAACCATCGGAAATATGTGTTTTCCAAAGGTCTTAGGTGTTCCTTGTGAATGGGTCATTCGACCTCCTCCAAAGGGGTCGCGACCCACAGGTTGAGAATCATGGGGTTACAGCTTTGTAAACTCCAATGAGCAGTTCTACTCTGTCTTATAGGGTCACTCTCAAACTGAGGGCAACGGGTTTTGACTTTTGTTTGTTAATTATCTAGGTGATGGCTATATTCTCTCTCTCCCTCCCCCTGTTACTCCCTAAATAGCACAGATTAAGATAATTACATTGTAATATAGAATAATTCTTGAGTATTTAATTGTTTCATTAAAAGGAACTTTCTTTTGGCAAAAAAGCAAATTGTTGAATGTGTTTGTGTATTAGTGACAGATCAAGAAGTAATTGTGGCAGAAGCTCATATTAGAGTTACAATGAAGTCTACAAATGCTCCTCTTGCATCTTCATACTTATTTTCATACTTAAACAATTTGTGTTATTGGGCAATTGGATTATTGTTTCCCCACATTTTCTTCTTTCATATTATTAAGACACTACAAAGCTATTTGGCGCATGAAGAACTAATAGAGCAGATATGGACATCTACATTGAAGACAGTGAGCTCTGACTTGATGAACAATGACGAGAAGACGCTTAGGAACTCAAAAGAATGACCTTCGTGTTGTGCAATGAAAGTATCCCATTAATGAGCGGAGAAAAGTCAGAAGATGCCCAGCCACCCACATTGTAACTGAATCATGACAGGAGTGAGGGAGTATGTGTCAAAGTAAAAACAGTACAAACATCTTATTTTGATTGTAAAGTTTATTTTTCTTACCCAAGAATCTAACAATACATGAGTCCAAATTGATCTAGTCTGGTTTCATTTGTCTGCTCTTTCTTTCAAGGTTGCTTGTCAATTCTCTAGCCAAATTAAACTTGTTTCCTTTGGGCTTAAGGAGAGAAGTAAGAATTCATTACTTAGTTAATTTGATTTTAAAGATAGACGGCTTTTGCAATTTAAATTTTAAATGGTGTCATGGCTGCAAGTGACTGGAAGGTCAAGTTTTATCAGCTTGGCCAGAGAGGATTTAGGAAGCTGACATCACCTGATCTCAGTCAAAGGAAGAGGACCTGGTTCAACTAATCCAATGAAGACGTCATCTTCTTTCCTTCTTGTTTTCCTTTATAAGCTTTGTTTCAAATTGCTTATCTCAAATCATTTGCCTTTTTCATTTTTAGGGAATCAGAATAGTCTCCCTAGATGCATATGTAACTCCTTAGAATAAATCTTATTTCAATTTATTTGAGTTTTGATTTTTTTATTAACAGGATACTATTAACTAGCTCAACATTTGAAATGCACATATTTTCAAGAAGACCTCTATAAATTTAGCCTACCTTTAAATTTACATGTGTGTAGTTTAATATAAATACATTACTCATCCAGTAAAAATACAACTGGCAGTGGACCAATAAAATATTACTATGTATTGTTTTAATATATACCATGCAAATATAAAGAAAAGGATGAGTGGGATAAGTTAGGATAGTAATATTTTAAGTTAAAACTGTGTGAATTCACAATTATGCAATACCAATATTGGTGATCAAGCAGAAAGTAATAATTTAATTAAATTTCATCAAGTAAACATCCCTTGCTAATTCGCCCTTACTCCCTTTGTTGAAGTGGTTACAAGCCTCTATTTACTTGCTAAAAATGAATAAAGACATACTTTTCTATGTAGTGGCACTAAATATATATTTACCCTTTGTGGTATTCTACAGTATATTGACCTAAATATATTTTATCCATGTGGAAATTGCTGATATTTCTGCAGGTGAATTCATTCCTTGGTAATTTCCAATCAATATAGCTGCCCTACTGATCAACTGGGGACCTTGTTGATTGATTTGCTTATTGCCATCTTTACTTATTCTGGCTCAGAAGACATATTCTACTGAACACAGAGCTCTAATGACAATTAAAGAATCTACACTGTTGAGTTTCCAAAATGGATTTGATATTCCTATGAAGTTATTGTATATGCACTAGATCAAAATTGCATTATTTTATCCCAGGGCACTAGAGAACGAAATTGTTCCCTGGTACTTGTGTCGTTTCTTTCTACCAAAGATTCTTACATACGTATGCATCCAGATCCATCTGAAGAATTATGAGAAATTCATCACTGCAGTTATAATAGTCTTACTATAAAGATGATTTTTTTATTCCATATTCTGAAGACCAGACATGAAGATTAGTAAATTGGGAAAAGTCACAATCACCCAATGAGATAGAATAGAAAATAAATAAAGTTGGAAGCACAATAGTTTTCTAGTATCCATACCAAAAAGATAATATATCACCATGCAGAGGTGAATACATAAAATGTAATGTAAATGAAAATATACATAGTGATCAATCATTGAGTATTCTTATTTCTGATTAGTTTAAATAAGCAGTGTATCAGAAGAGGAAGCTACATGGAACAGGTGGGTAGATTCACTTTACTTTTATAATTTTATAGCATTCATATTTTCAGGAGAGAATGTTATTAAACAATGCAGACAGGCTTTACTTAATAGTGTGGCATACAGTATTATTATTCCAAAACCATTTTTAGGAATTGCTGCTATTATTTCTTGTTTCCATTTTACACACATTGATTTTTATTCAAAAGTTAAAGTCAACCACTGTAGTGGTTATATAATTTTATGTCAACTTGAAGATGCATGAAATTGTATGGGGGACGTCAAACCTGATTCAGTCGATCAAGTTTCCGCCTGATGACTGTAGTAGTTACATAAACTTGTGTCACCTTGAGGATATCAGAATGAAGGGGAAGAGTCGGGCCTGCTGATGAGGTCACAGCCTGATGATGTCTCCTTGTGGGTGTGGCCATCTTGTGAGGATTCTGGGAACGTTTTCCCCTCTTCCCTGGACACGGGGACACACTCTCTGTGTCACATTTCATGTTGTCAAGTAACATGGAGCCACACTCATGGAAGCCATAGCCCTGGAGATGCTTCCACTGCCACTGGATCTACAAGACTTTTCACACACCATTCTGTGAACTTCCTGTATTTACCATTTGTGCATGTTCTGCACGAGTCGAAAGAGGAATTTATGGGCTTGCATTGGACATATGGGCTAATATCAAACTATGGACTTGATCTGGAGTGGGCTGGGATGTTTTCTCAATGTACAATTGCTCTTTAATATAAAGCTCTATCATACACACATATGAATGTCTCTGGATTTATTTTTCTAGTCAATCTGGACTAGCCCAGTGCTTGATGGTATAAGAGGGTGAGACACTAGGAACGGCTTGCTCTCTCTCTCCCTTTTCACCTTTCTGCTTTCTGGTCACCCTGAGGGCTGCTGTGGCCTGTCATGTTTCCATCAACCTG